TACACCAATTAGAGAATCTGAAGTTTTTTGTGGTACTCGATAATTTTATTTTTACGAACAACTAGTAACAACGTGAACTTAATATATAACATTTAGAGATTCTGAAGCTTTTTGTTTGATGGGTGTGCCCGATGATTTTATTTTTGTAATCAATTAGTAACATCTGAAGTTTTTGGCTTAGGTGGCTGTGCTCGATGAGTTTGATACTAACTCCTCACAGTCAACCTGCACCTTATTTTCTTTATTGAGGTCAAATAAATTATTTCGTTTCGTTTCGTTTCGTATGTATGTATGTATGTATGTATGTATGTATGTATGTATGTATGTATGTATGTATGTATGTATGTATGTATGTATGTATGTATGTATGTATGTATGTATGTATTCATGCATGCATGCATGTATGTATGTATGTATGTATGTATGTATGTATGTATGTATGTATGTATGTATGTATGCATGCATGCATGCATGTATGTATGTATGTATGTATGTATGTATGTATGTATGTATGTATGTATGTATGTATGTATGTATGTATGTATGTATGTATGTATGTATGTATACATGAATAAATGTCAAAACTGAATCATAACAAATGACACTAAACAGTCAAACATCATAAACAAATGGTTCGACAATTAATATTGATTTAATTAATTAATTATCATTAATTAAATAATTAACTATTAATAACTAATTTAACAATTTGTATTAATGCATGCAGTTGTGTGTGAATGGATAGACAATTAAATAAATTATTGAACAAAATATTTGCAGAATTCCACCATGTGCATTTGAACATGAACAGACAAATAGCATTTGACTAAGTGTATGAATGGAATTAGAACACGCATGATGATACTATATGATAGTATGTGATAACGTGTGGATGTGTTGTCATGAGATGAGTGGAGGTTTTAACGTTGAGGAGTTTGTTGATGAAGTGTTGCCGGCAGAATTGATCGGGCGGTTTTGATTTGCAGATGAATCAACAAAATGAATGTATTTGATAAATGGCCTTCAAAATCAATAGATGGATGATATAAGCAACGCATTAGATATTCAATTGTTGATTTATTAAGAAACTGTTAATTAACTACAAATAATTATTGATTCATTGAAAAAATTAATTGTTTAATTATTAAATAGATGAATTAGAAATAAATAAATAAAAGAATTGAAAGAAGATTATATGTAAAATGAAAATACACCAACAAATGTTACCAAACTAATTGAACCAGGCCACGTTCGTTTGGCTTGATGTTATAAATTGGAAGACAAATATCTCTTGAATGTCTATTTTTCATAATTAAAAATATTTTCAGATTACAAAATACATCAAACAGCAGACCACAAGAAAAACAAATGTTTTCCAAGACAGTTCTTTCCAACACAAACGCAACTGAAACCAGACCACGTGTGAACTTGAACCCAACGTGACTGTGGTTGGTATCGTAAAATCTTGGTCATACTTGAGGAATATTAAATATGTAAGCCACATGTTGCTGTTACGGTTCTACTAAATTTTAAATGGCTCACACATCAGATAAATCAGTCCTTCCTTGTCACCCAAAAAATTGTGCAAAGTATAAAACTAAAAAAATTATATTACAGCAAACGTTTTCTTGAACGAAATTTAAAAAAAAAAAATTTATTACAAAAAAAACAATACTGTGAAATCTTAATAAAAATTGTATTATATGATACCTATGTTAAATGTTCAAATTGATTAAAGTCCACTTCTTTATTTTTTTTTTATCATGGCCACAAACAACCGAGTGCCACACCAGTTCAAAGTTTCCCAAAAAGTTTGGCCCATTTCCAATGAACATTTTTTAAATGTTTATAATTTATCGGGATAATAATCAAGATGTGCTCGCATTATGAAGTTTTATAAAAATTAAAAATATGCTCCGATTATTTTTTTAGGGAAGGCTTTCAACATAGAGTGATCATTTCCGGCTGTTCTTATGTAGGGATATGATAAAAAACAAATGTAAAAACGTAATAAATATATGGTAAGAGCCATAAGATATCAGGAGGATAAGATATAC